GGATGGTGACCTTATGTCCTCTAGGGGACCAGGCCCGCAGAGCTTAGGGCCAGGGGTATAGAATACAGAGAGAGTGACAGAACCCACAGCTGCAAGGGGTGGAGGGATGGCCCCTTTCAGGCGTGGGTGGTGCTCTCGGAGCTGCTTGTCCTGAAAAATCCACCCTTACTCCACCCCTGCTCCCTGGTGCCCACATGTTCGCCTCCACCTCCGCCCTCTGCCCCCGCCCTCCACCCACTGCCGGGAGCCCTCACCCCTAAACATCATAACTGGGACAGACCCAGCTTTTTTGTTTTAAATATATATATTCATTTTAAGAGTCATACAAGCAACTTATAGAACATTCAAAAACTACAGGAAGATGAAGGGAAAGAAATCATCTCCCGTCCCCTCGCTTGGTGAGGGGACAGAGAGACCAGGAGGACCTGCTGTGAGCACCACCGCTTCCTCCTCACAGGAACGCCGCGGGGCTCCCTGTGGCCACCCGGTTCGGGGTCTGATTCTGAGGCCGTTCAGGTCGAGGCGGAGCAGTGAGGAGGTGGGTGGGGAGGGCAGCACTGCCCACTCTGACTTAAGCAAGTTTATTTTCTCATCGTCTTTCCTCTGAGCATTTGTGACCATCTTGCATACAGTGCTTTAAAAAGCGTAGTTAACACAGTGCTGTTCAGGGTCTAGAAGGAATACATTGGGAAGAAGGGCTGGCACAGGCAACACTCGCCAATGGCTTGTTTATAATTAATCATCTCCCATTAGAAAAAAATAAAGACTCAGTTTTAGAGAAAACCATTACTCAAGTCCCTTGGCAGAGGAAGTGGCCATTATGTTGCTCCCGCAGCTCTGCTTTTGTGGAAGAGAAAAAAGTTTTTATTTGCTGTTTCTCTGAGCTGTACAAATAACTTGGCCATTGTTAGTGAGTGCAGGAACAGAACAGCCCCAGCCATTGTTCAGGCCGCCGCTTAACACGGCAAGAGCTCCAGTCCGAACCCGGGTAAGGGAAGTGACCAGAGAAACCTATTTCCTGGAACTGGCAGAAGCAGAAGCAGAAAAGAGCGCTCCCTGTGGCTGCGGACTCAGCCGGAGGGAGTACTCTCCCCAGCATCTCCTGGCCGGGGCCTGCTGGCTGCTCTGCTCTCAGCACAGAGCCTGTCGGCCGGAGGGGGCACCTCCGACCACCCTGTCAGCTGTGGGTCGTGCTACTGGGATTTTTCAATGTGGGGGCCCCGACCCTCTGGGCATGTTTTCGGCACCCTGCATTAAACAAACATTTATTAAGCACCTTCTGAATTCTCTGATGAGGGCTAGCAGGAGCTCACAGTCTCATAGTCACAGTGGGGGAGGGGAGCTGTGTGCAGCCCAGGACTGTGCCACGTGGAAAGTGCCAATGAAAGGTGAGCCACCCACTGCCCTTGACCCCTCCTGGGACCTTCATGCAGCCTGCCTGTGTCCATTTTGTGTCATTGCTCCCAAACTGCCTTGTGAAATCTGACGTCTGCTCATGGCCTGGTGGGGGATGTTGTAAGCGCTGCGCCGTGGGGCCACCCACTGGCCGACAGTCCTGCTTTGGCAATATCTTCATCTGTGGGAGATGCCCCATCCCGCAGACCTCTCTCGGCCGCTGTGGAAGAGAACAAATTGTCCCTAACACAACCTTGTTCCAGCAGGAAAGGGGGTGGCAATTCCCTCTAGCAGGGAACGCCCCCAGCCCTTCTCCCAAACCGCTTTCATTGGGAATGGTATGTGTAGGTGTATACAGCATACACGCATAGCCCATCAATCAGTGTCAAAGGCTACAGTCTTACAGAAACAGGTATTATCCATAGATAACAATTGAAGGAACACAGAGATCTGCCTCAGGGTCTGTGTCTGTTAGTCATGCTGACACCAGATGGCCTTTAAGACGAGTTTCATGAGATAAGGAGTTTACTCTTTATGCCTTGAACTTAAACATCCGGTTTGTATCAGCAGGGCCATACAAAGCAAAGCAGAGCAGGCTTCAAAGGATGCAGTGTCTTTATCAGGCCTGGTTTCCCACAGAGCGCCCTCTGTGCTGGGTCAGGCGGTGCCTGCCCCCTGTGTTTCCTGGTCTTCCAGGGAGACCTCCTGGCTTCTTTGAAGGCTGCTCTGGTGGGGCTGCAGTCTCCAAGACCATGTAGAGTGGTCCCCAGCACTCATCTTTGTTCCTGCAGTGAAAATAACTTGTGTGTGAGTGCATGGCCCCGTTGGGTTTTATGCGTACCACTGCTTTATCAAGTAGAAAATGGAAAAGCGTACATATCACTATAGAGCTTAGAAGCGTTAGTGTGTCTTCCAGACGTAACCTCTTTTGGGCTCAGGTGGAAATTGACACTTGGACTGAAGGGGCAAGCTGCCGCCTTCATCAGGCGCTGTTCGGGCTTAGGCCCATTGGAGTTATGAAGGGAAAGGACACATGCAACATACACACTAGGATCAGCAGTTGTCCTCAGGGAAACTTGGGAAAATGCACCAAAGCTACGTGTGAAGAAGCTGACAGCCACAGTCTTTGACATAGTAAAACCACTGGAAATGACCCAGACTTCCATCAGTGGAAGAGGGTCTACTGTATCTGCACCATGGAATATTATGCAGCAGTGAAAATGAATGAATTATAGCTACATGTGACTGAATCATAGAAACATAATGAGTGACAAAAATACATCCCAGAAGATTAAATACAAGCCACTTATAAAAAGCTTAAAAATCAAGTAAAATTAAGAAAAATGTAAGGACCCATAAGTAGTGAACTTATTTTTTAAAGTAAGGAGTGGTAACCCAGAAATTCACACTGTGTGAAGTGCGGAGGCTGGAGGCTGCAGAAGCAGATGGGGGGCCGCAGAGACAATGACTGCGCTAGTACTGAGACTGGTAGGAGCTCGGGTGCTTTTCTGCTTCATAACTTTTGTGTATTTGCATGTTAATTTGCATGCGCTCAATGTTATCTATTTAAAAACAACATCTGAAATGATAGAAATATATTATTGACTCTTTGTTCGAAAGGTGTGCTGTGTTATCTACAATAGCCAAGACGCAGACACAGCCTGAGTGTCTGTTGCCTGGTCAGTGGATAAAGGGGTGTGGCGCCCACGCCCACCAGGACTGGGATATTCTGTACCCGCACAAAGGAAATCCTGCCATTTGTGACCACATAGATGGATCTCGAGGGCATTGTGCTAAGTGAAATAAGTCAGACAGAGAAAGATAAATACTGTATGATCTCACTTCTATGTGGAATCTAAAAAAAAAGCAAAGACAAAAAACCAAAGCCATAGGAAAAGAGATGAGATTTGTGGTTACCCAACGTGTGTGTGGTGGGGAGGGGTGAATTAAGCAGACCCTAAGAGTTCTCATCACAAGAAAAAAGAAACATTATTTTCTCTTTTTTTGTGTCTATATGAGGTGATAGATGACTAAACTTAGTGTGGTAATCATTTCACAATATGTGTAAGTCAGGTCATGTGTGCAACTTAAACTGACGCAGTGCTGTGTATCATCTCAACAAAACTGGGGGAGGGGTGTGTGGGAGAACAGGGTATAGGAGAGATAAATGGTGATGGGAAAAAACTGGGGTGGGGGGAACAGAAAAAGAAAGGTAGTGAGGGCTTCCATAACTCTTATGAGCTCTCTGGGCACCCAGGTATCCTCAGTGAACTTCTAGAGACTGGGATTTTGCTGAGGTGCAGGGAGCCCTGTGTCCCCACCGGTACCTGGCTCTGGGGCCTCTTTGAGTGTTTGTTAAATGTGGGGCAGAGGGGGGGACTTGCCCACAGTGGTGAAAGCGAGGTCTAAGGCACCTGCCCAGACTTGCCTGCTGCACGGTGGGATTCAGTGCTTTTCTCAGGGAAAAGGAAAATCTCTCAGGGGACCAGCTGCTACCTTGGCCTTGAGCAGCGAACTCATTGTTCACTGCCTGAGTAGTGAGCTTGGTCACTACAGGTGACTCTGGCTCCAAGTGGTAAAGTGAGAAAGGGCACTCGAAGGCAGTCTGGTAGCCGGGCAGGACCAGTGCCAGACAGCAACCGTCTCTGTCCCTTTGACACCCATGTCCCTGGTCCCTGGACTGTGGCTGAGGTCAGTTTCCTGAGAGTCACTGATTCTTAGTCCCTTCTCCCTGACAGTTACCTTGGATGGGGTGGGAGGAAGGACAGTCTGACAAGTGTGACATAAAAACTCATCCTGAGCTAGAAGGCTTTGCAGGCCAGAAATGCCAGTGCTTGTTTGTCCTCCAGGCCCAGGAGCAGGGGCAGGAGGTGAGGTCAGATGCCCGGGCAGCTGCTGGGCCTGTGGGATCTTGGGACAGATTTACTGTTGCTGCTCTCTATTAAGTGGTTATACTTTAAAAAAAAATTTTATTTACTTATCTTTAGAGGGGAAGGGAAAGAGAGAAGGAGAGAAATATCAATGTATGGTTGTTTTTGGTGCATCTCCTGCTGGGAACTGGCCCCTGCTGGGAACTGGCCTGCAACTCAGGCATGTACAGTGACGGGGAATCGAACTGCAATCTTTTGGTTCCCAGGCCCATTATACATTTGTTTTGAAGGACCATATGGGCTTAACGTGAAACTGGCTATATTCCCTGGCCCCAGTGCCCTTAGCTGATTGGACTAATTTACTAGACTGGTTCATGAATTAGTCCAGTCTTAGTCTATGAATCTATAACCTATAATAAAAAGGAGTTTGCTCGTTCCTTTAATTTTGGACTCCACGCTGTGGACAGTGGCAGGTTCTTAAAGGGTTTTCTAATCAAAGGTGTTGGGTGGTCAGACCGAGGCTTCCGAAGATCAGTTGGACAGCTGGGTGGAGAGGGCCAAGGCTGGTGCGTGGGGCTGCTGGGAGGCTCTTGCTATAATACAGGCAGAGGCCTGGACCACGGGATGAACTTGGGAGATGTTTGGTACTGAAGCCTCTTGCGGCTTCCCCAGATCAGAAATGAAGTTCTTTCCTCAGTTTGCTGTGGACTTACCGAGTGTCTTCTCTCTCCCCAGAGGTGGAGAGCGATGTGCTGACCAGCAGTCCCGGAGCTAGCGTCACCCTGACCTGCCCAGGCAGGGATCTGGAAGACAATGCCACGGTTCACTGGGTGCTCAGGAGGCAGGTCTCGGGCTCGCACCACAGCACACGGGCTGGCGTGGGAAGGAGGCTGGTTCTCTGGCCCGTGCAGCTCAGCCACTCTGGAAACTACTCGTGCTACCAGGACGGCCACCGGGTTGGAACTGTGGGCCTGCTGGTGGAAGGTGAGTCGTGCCGTCGAGCTCTTGGAGACAGCTCCCTGCGCAGCTCTGTCCGTTCCAGATCCCCGGCCTGACCCTTGGAACTCCTGTTACTTCCTTGGCCTGTGGATCTTGGGAAAGGCCCACTGATGCCTGCCAGAGAGACTGGCGGAAATCCCTGCCGGGTGGGGGCAACTGGCTGGCTGCTGGCGACACCGTCCAGCTGGCCTTGCTGGGCATCAGGGGGTGAGGTGCACTGGTCAGTAGCGTGGGACTGAGAGCAAGACGGCCTGCAGTTGAACCCTCCTCCCACGCAGCTCACTCCGCTGCTCCTCTGTGTGCTCCTCAGTGAAATCAGGTGAATTTGATTACCTTACCTCAGGGTTAGTACAGAGATTAAACGAGTGTGTTTGTTTGTATACTCACACACACACACACACACACACACATATGGCGTTGAAAACTCTGCACGGTCTAAAATTTACTAGTTTTAAAAAGATTTTAGTTTTTAATTTATTTTTAGAGAGCAGGGAAAGGAGGGAGAGAGAGAGGGAGGGAAACATGGATATGTGTTTGCCTTTCGTACACCCTTAAATGGGGACCTAGCCTGCCACTCAGCCATGTATGTGCCCTGACTGGGAATGGAACCAGTGACTGGTTCACAGGCTGGTGCTCAGTCCACTGAGCCACACCAACCAGGGCTCAAAGTAACTATTTTTATTGTTAAAATTAGCAAGTTCTTAACTCCCTCACATCTAGATGAAGATGTCCTGGAGCCAGATGCCCCGTGTGTGTGGCCTTCTGCCGAGGTCCTGTCTTCCTTGGTGTCCTGATGCCCCTGGGAGGGAAAGCAGTATTATTGTTGTTATTTGTCATCATTTAATTTTATAGTAGGAAACTGAAAAGAGTTTGGGACTCGCCCAAGGCCCCGCAGCAGGCCTGTGTGACTCCAAAGCCTCTAGTTTTTTGGGTGTTCGGTCTCCCCTTCAGGCAAGTGAGCCTTGGGCGTCTCCCTTCGCTGTAGTGAGGCCCTTTACTTTCCTGGCCAGAATTGTGTGTGTAGCTGTTTGGCGCCGGTTCTAGGGCTGGAGGGCAGGGAGGTGGGGAGGGTCGAGCCGGGTGGTCCCCTGAGGAGGAAGGTGAGGTGTGCTGGCTTTTCAGTTCCTCCAGAGAAGCCCCAGCTCTCCTGCTTCCGGAAGAGCCCCCTGAGCAACGTGGTGTGTGAGTGGAGTCCTCGGAGCGCCCCCTCCCAGAGGACTGAGGCTGTGTTACTGGTGAGGAGGTTGTAAGTATCCTGGGCTGGGCTGATGTCTGGGTCTGCTCACCCTTAACCAGGGCCCTGGGGCTGGGTGAGGGGGTCTCAGAGGAGACAGTGGGACTGGCCAGCCAGCGACTCCAAAACTTTATCATTAGAAAATAATTCTTTTGGGAGGGAATGAATGAGGGAACTGAGGCTTCAATTCAAGTGCCTGCCTGTGTTGGCCACTGTGCTAGGATATTTGTCCTATTAACCATCACAGTAGCCATGGGAAGTGGGTGTTCTTTTTCTCCTTCAACAGACAGAGAAATTGAAGTTCTGAGAACCTGATTAAATTGTTTAAGGTCATCTGACTAGTAGCTCTGCTAGGAATCAAACCCAGTCTGTCTGACTTCATTCACAATACACAGGGTTTGGGCATCTGAAGAAGATGCAGATGTCCTGGGTGGGGAAGGGCGGCCAGTTCCTTGTCCTGTCCTGAAATCGGGCTCTTTCCATTTGAATGGCAGGTGAGAGGAAGTGGTGAGAGTGGTGACAGGATGGAGAGGGAGCTGGGGGCGGTGGGGTGGACCCACACCTGCCTGGGTCCCTTAGCACCAGCAGACGGCACGAAGTGGGAGCCCTGGGTGCATTCGGGCGGGGTGCAGAGAGGGGGAGACGTTGAAAACCAACACACCCGTGCAGTTTGTCTGTCTCCATCCCAGAGCCAAGGGCCCTGTAGCCCAGGCGTTTCTATCTGAGTTTGGGCTGTCAGTCTTCAGAGTATCAAAAAACCTGGGCCCTGGCGTGTGTGGGTCCGTGGATTGAGTGCTGGCTTACAAACCGAAGATCACCAGTTCGATTCCCTGTCAGGGCACACGCCTAGGTTGCGGGCCCTGTCCCCAGCTGCGGGCTCTCAAGAGGCAGCCATGCACTGATGTTTCTCTCCTGCCCTCCCCTCTCTAAAAATGAATAAATGAATATTTTTTAAAAATCTGAACAGTGAGTTCAACAGGCCAGTTTGGTTTCTCCTGCCCTGACTAGCACATAGCAAATTTATTCAGTCGACAGTTCAGCTAGAATATTCTGTGCCCTTGTTACCAGCATTGTGAGAGAGACAGAAAGGCATTTCAGCTCCTACTCTTGTCAGCAGCCTCTGGCCCTTCCATCCTCCCACTGGGCGGGGCGTCTCTGCCTTGAACTGAGGAAGTGGGGAGGGGGGGAGCAACTGAGAAGCTGGAGACCTCAGAACCCATTCAGGCCCTACTCAGCCCCTGGCACTGTGGGGGGTGGAACAGGCCCCTGGAAGGAGATTGTAAGGAGATTCTGTGCACACAGTCACGCCCTTGCTGAAATGTGCTTGCTCGCTCATTCATTCCAGGGGCATTCGGGGAGTTCAGCGTCTGCCGGGGGTTAGGCACCATACTAGGGCTGAGGGAGACACAGCAGGTGTGGAAGGCTGGGCCCTGCACTCCAGCCCCACAAGGGGACACAGCTGTAAGCATGCGGCCCAGGACCCTTTCTTCCCAGGGTTAGGTGGGATGGAAGTCTGGGTGGTGTTAAGGGAGGGAAGGATGGAGGGAGGTTCTAACCCAGACTGGGGAGGTCGAGGCAGGTTTTCCCAGAACAAATTTGGTCTGGGCCTGGGGTTTAAGCCCATAGCAGAGGTTGGTGGCTGATTTGTTGCCCCAGCAGCAGGGCGAGTGGCTGCCGTGGCCTGCATGCCCAGGCAGGTCCTAAGTGAGGGAAGTCTCGGGCTTCTAGGCCAGACGCGATGCTGTCCGACTCACCTTGAATCTCTTCGGTCACCCAGACTTCTCTTCTGGGCTCTCCTGCTGGAAGTGCTGCCACCTCCTCTTAGACCCCTAGCACTTTGTGCTTCTGGAATGGCATTTCTACTGGCTGTCCCCTTTGTCTGACGGCAGGCCTTGAGGTTGGGGCCTTCCTTGATTCACTTCTGCAGCCCTCACCTTGCCAAGAGCACACATCTGGCAGGAAGCCAAGGAACCACGTGTCTGATGCCTCAGTGACTGAGTGCACCCACTTTCTGCACTTTGGCCTGCCAGGCACCAAGCTGGGTGTTTTTCACTCATTTTTTACAAACCACTATGAGGTAGGCACTACTACTACAATGTCCCCGTTTTCAAACAAGCGGACACAGGCTCAGAGAGGATCGTTTACACCAAGTCACAAGAGCTACCAAGTGTGCAGCCGGGACGCAGACCCTGGGGTCCGACCGCAGAGCCTGGCCCCTCCCCTCACGCCACACCCTCTCTCCTCCCGACTCAGTGCAGAAGCTGAGTGGGCTCACTCTCGTTTTGTGCCCGGCAGGCAGCACGGTCCGGTAGAAGACTTCCAGGAGCGGTGCCAGTACTCTCAGGAGTCCCAGAAGTTCTCCTGCCAGTTGGCAGTCCCAGAGGGAGACAACTCTTTCTACATAGTGTCCCTGTGTGTCGCCAACAGTGCTGGGAACAAGTCCAGCAGACCCCAAACATTTGAGGGTTACGGAGTCTGTACGTAAGCTCTTGCAGGCCGCCCTCTGCACCTCCGAGCTGTTTCCTGCTAATTTTGTTGCTCGTGGGCTTCTTGGGGCAGGGAGGGGCCGGGCTGGGCCCTTTGGAGCTTTACTTGACAGGTCTGACTATGGCTGACCAGGGAGTGCTCCGGGGCTGGGGTGGCCTCCTGCTGTTGGGGCTCTTTCCTCGGCAGTGCACTTGCCACCACATAAGAGCCATGCACCCTTTTCCCACAGTGCAGCCTGACCCGCCCGTCAACATCACCGTCACCGCCGTGGACGGAAACCCCCGCTGGCTCAGTGTCACCTGGCGAGACCCCCCGTCCTGGAACTCAATCTTCTACAGGCTACAGTTTGAGCTCCGATACCGGGCTAAACGGTCAAAGACATTCACGACATGGATGGTAACTTTTTTTTACTTCTGGATAGAAAAGTACCCTTGGGGGGAAAAATACAATAAAAGAATATACCATTAAAGCCCCACCCCTCAAAATATCTTTTCTTTCCAAAAAGAACAAAAAAAGAAAAAGGAAAGTACCTTTTGGCCCTAAGGGGTACTTTAGCCCTAAGGGGAGAGGGTGCTAGAAAGAAGCAAATGGGTTCTGGGTCCTCTTCTGCACTCACTGCTGCGTGGTCCTGGGTAGGTCAGTCTCTGAGCCTTTCTGCACATCAGTGGCATCATCTGTAAAGGGGAACAGGGATGCCAGACCAAGCTCCCCTTCGCAGGCCTGTTTGTAAGAGTGAGAGTGACCTGGGACATGCGTGGGGGCTATGAGCGCGTCAAGGGTGTGGCTGCAGGATCCCGCAGCGCATGGGCTGGGGCGGTCACTTCCAGCTTCTGCCTGTGTTGGCCCAGAGGACATCCCTGTTCTCTCTGCGCTGCCAGGGTGGTGTCAGCCTCTGCAGTGTCTGTGCCCACCTGAGTCACCCACTAGATCTGAGAGCAGGGGCCGCTGAAGGGCAGGAGGCAGCCAGGGCTATCCCTGTCCCCGTGGAGCTGCCCCCCAGTAACTGTGCCGCTGCCTCAGGTCAAGGATCTCCAGCATCACTGCATCATCCACGATGCCTGGAGCGGCCTGGAGCACGTGGTGCAGCTGCGGGCCCAGGAGGAGTTTGGGCACGGCCAGTGGAGCGAGTGGAGCCAGGAGGTCACGGGCACTCCCTGGACAGGTACTGGTGGGCACGGAACGGATACTTTACATTTGCTGCTGTGTCAGTTTCCTATTTCTATGTCACAAGTCACCACCAAACTCATGGTAAAACAGAAACCATTTATCTGCTCAAGATTTTGAAAATGAGCCAGCTATGTAGCGCTTATGCTGGTCACACCTGAGATAGTAACGCGGTTGTTTGGCCTGCGTGGTCCATGGTGGCCTCTCTCAGGTCTGAAGGCTGGAGCTGGCCAGGGGCTGAAGCCCTTGGTTCTCCCTGGAGCCTGGCACCTTCCAGGAGACCAGCGCAGACTCGAGGAGAGGAAATCAGTTTACAGCTTGATGGCAGGAGTTGCAAAGAATTTGTAGCTATATTTGATCTACCAAGGTTACTATGCTTTTTATTATTTATTTTATTTTACTTTTGTTAGTGCTTTTTTTTTTTAAAGACATAGCATTTTAAAAAAAAGATTTTATTTATTTATCTTTAGAGGGAAAGGGAAGGAGAGAGGGAGAGAAACATCAATGTGTGGGTGCCTCCTGTGCTGGGAACTGGCCTGCAACCCAGGTGTGTGCCCCAACTGGGAATTGAACCGGGATCCCCTGGTTCACAGGCCTGTGCTCAATCCACTGAGCTACACCAGCCAGGGCTTGTTAATACTTTTTATTTTTAAAAAGCTGTTAAAGGTAATAGTAATTGTCTTTGGGGAATTTTTGAAATTAATGTGTTTGTTATAGAACATAAAAAATTTTCAGAAAAAAATGAAGAATAATTTCACTGCTATTCTTACCACTCAGAGAAGCCAGTGAGAACATTTTTTTCTTTTCTTTGTTTTTCTAGAGAACTTTTTAAAAGACGATTTATTTATTTATTTATTTATTTATTTATAGAGAGAGGGTAAAGGAGGGAGAAAGAGAGGGAGAGAAGCATTGATATGTGAAAGAAACATTGAATGGTTGCCTCTTGCAAGCACCCAAACTGGGGACCAGGCTCACAGTCCAGGCATGTGCCCTGATTGGAGTCAAACCAGCAAGCTTTGCTTTCTGGGGTGACAACCCAACCCACAGAGCCACACTGGTCAGGGCTCCAGTGAGAACATTCTACATATGTCTTTCCTTTCTCTAGGTGTATTTGTGTGTTTTATATATGATATAAACAGATCATATATATATGCCACACACACACACACACACACATATATATATGATCTGCCCAGAAGGTATGCAGCCATGTAATATGAAAAATAGAGATATTTATTGAAGAAGATACAAGAAACATTGTACATAGGACAATGACACTTCAGTCCCCTTCAGAGTAGGCACCTTGGGACCTCACACAGTTTTCCCAGTTGCCATCAGCTGCTCCATTATAATTTCCTGAATCTCATCTAAGGTCTGAAATGTCTGCCCTTTCTAAGGTGATTTCAGTTTTGGGAAAGGCAGAAGTCACAGAGCACTGTAGGGTGGCTGAGTCACTTGAGTGATTTGATGTTTCACCAAAAAACTGCACCAGATTGATGCATGAGCAGGCACGTTGTTATGATGAAGCTGCCAATCACCAGTTGCCCATGGCTGCAGCCTTCTGAACCATCCAAATAGTTTCCATGGAGGAATGTTCAAGCTTAATGCAAAATCTGATGCAGATTTGTGGCTCTACTCACTCAGTCATGTTGGATGTGACTACTACACAGTACATGTGCTCACTGCATGACGTCTACCGCCCTCACTGACTGGTACAGTGAAGTTGTCATTGTTCACACATGCACCTGCCAGTCCACGCTCCTTGGCTGCCAGGTTACATGTATGTCATGCAATCTGTTTTCGCTATATTAACAATGGCTGGACATTTTCTGGACAGACTTTGTTTTGTGTGTGTGATATAAAATATTGTGTGTCTTCCCATGCTGTTAAAGGTTGTTAAATATTTTTGGAAATGTATTGTTTAGAAACTGGATGATTAATGTTTTTTCTTAACTGATAGGAATTTTTTTAATGTTTAAAATTCCTCACACTAATGTACGCCCAAGGCAAATAAGCAAAGAAGAACTTACGACACCAGTGTCCCCTGCCCCGCCCCTCCCACTTCCAGTCCTTCTCGCTGGAGGAAGCTGCTTGACTTTCGGTTTCTATTTCTTCTGTTGGTACCCTTCTTAATTCTGAACAACAACTTGATATGGCCGGGTTTTTTTCCTGAGAAAACAGTTTGGGACATTATCTTTGACTCTTCTGTGTGGAAGATGAGGATGTGGCCGGCCGGACCCGGTGCAGGGGTCCGGCTGCAGCCCAGAGACTGGCCGCCCAGCCTCTGCTCCCGGCTTCCAGACACCGCCCTCCGCCCCCAGCGCTCTCCCTAGAACGGCCTCCAGGCGGGATTCCCTGTCACAGCTCTCGCCTGTCAGCACAACTGAACCACATCGGTCGTTCTCAAATACCAGGGAATTCTAGAGAGAATAAAGGACCCGTTTGTTGACTGTGTATAGAGGAAAAGGTAAAGATGGAAATAACATCCATTGTCCAGGCCTAGGGACCCCTGCCCCTTCCTCCACCCCCGGCCTCGGGGAGAAGACTTCTATGTAGGGTCTGCACAGTCTTCCCCCAGAATGGATGCTGTGATGTGATGGTGTTTTCTGTGACGTGGCTTTACAGTCTGAGGTCCTTGTTCTTCTTGTTTGGGAGAACCAGAGGAACGGGCGTGGGGCTCAGGGTGCCTTCCTCGCTGGACGTATGCGGTGTCAAGTGCAGCCTCAGATCGTTGGTGCGTCTTCATTTCTGACCATTAAGAGCAGAGGCAGCCTTCTGTTGGACCCTGTTCTCAGAACCTCATTCTTTGTTAAGACCTGGATAAGAATGGAGGCCTAACTACTATATCGTACTTAGGAAGTCCATTTAAATAAATCAGAGCACCCTTCAGTCTAGATTGTGTCGACCCATCCTCAGTTGTCTGGCTTATGTACCCTGGGAGCCACGGCACACCCGTGTGAATACTCAACACTGATATGGCCTCGGAAGCCTTTGCAAGGGAAGAAAATTACAACATTGTGCAGAGGAAATATTCTGGATGCAGGTTTAAGAAACCCTGTTTTTGTTAGAAAGTTCTTTATTTCTTCAAAAAACTTTTTCATTGGCTCTGACTAGTGTGGCTCAGTTGGTTGGGGGTTGTCCTGCCAGGCGAAAGGTTTCTGGTTTGCTTCCCGGTCAGACTGCACGTGCCTGGGTTGCGGGTTTGGTTTCTAGTCCGAGCATATACGAGAGACAGCCGATTGAAGTTTCTCTCTGACATGGATGTTTCTCTCCCTCTCTTCCCCGCTCACTCCCCCTCTCTCTGAAGATGAATAAATAAAATTTAAAAGAATTTTTTAATTGTGGTAAAATACGCATTTTAAAATTTGCCATCTTAACCATTTTTAGGTGTATCATCAGTGGCATTAACTGTATTCACGTGGTCGCGCTCCCTCGCCCCCATCCATCTCCGGAACTCTTTTCATCTTGCAAAACTGGGACTCCATTCCCATTAATTGTTAACTTTCCACTCTCCCTCCTGAGGCCTGGCCATCACCATTTTACTTTCTGTCTCTGAGTCTGACTCTTCTAGGTACTTCATATAAGTGGAATCACATACAATACTTGTATTTTGTTGTGCCTGGTTTATTTCACTTAGCATAATGTCCTCAAGATTCATCTCTGTTGTAACATGTCAGAATTTCTATTACAGAACCAAACTAGGGGTTTGCCTGCCTGCTGCCACAATAGGAAAATTCTGGAGGCAGAGCCTGGTGAGAAAGGAAAGAGGTTTTTATTCAGATGGTGCATCATTTGGGAGAATGGCAGATTCTAGTCTTAAAGCCCATCCTCTGTGAAAATCCCCAGGGAAAGCCCAGTTGTCCTCAGTCAGATCAAAACCAAAGGCAGTGTCCAGAGTTCCTCCTGCCATTTAAAGTGCTGCCCTTTGGGAACTGCAAGAGGCTCTTGAGTAGCCATCCAGGTAGTTCAGCTTGTTACTGACTGCTCTTCAGCTTTTGGCTCCCACTTGTGGCTTCCGGGGCCAGGGGTCTCACGAATGCACTGGCTATTGTTTGCCAGGTGGGTAAGAAAGCATCTCTTCCTTCCCTTTGATTTATTTTAGTTTTGGGTGTGGGAAGGACTGACGGACATTTTCTCAGATTGCCCAATTAATTCCCCAGTGCTCCCTGAGGGCCCCAACCAGTTCCTGCTTTTTCCCAGGCTAGACTGACAGGCTTCTTCCATCCAGCACTTCTGCCTGCTGACATTCTTACCTCTAGGGCACATGTGCCTGCCTTCCCGTGGTCCCACTCCCAGTCAGGTGCAGGAAGGCGGCAGGAGAGCTTTCCCCTGTCCAAGTATCTTACTGACCTTGCACACGCTCAGTGCAGTGCCTCCTCCTGCTGCCATTTTGCCCAGGGGTGGGGGCTCTGCCCCCAGGAGCAGAATGTTGTGTTACCTAGGCAATGTGGCCCCATCCTCTGCCTGCCCCCATTGGTCCAGCCAGGTGGTAGGTATCAGTTCCTCCCTTTTTAAGGCTGAATGACATCCCACTGTATATATCATCTATCACATTTTGTTTATTTTTTCCTCTGTGACTGGACATTTGGGTTGCTTCTACCTTTGTTGTGAGTAATGCTGCTGTGAATGTGAGTATACAACTATCTGTTCGGGTCCCTTCTTTTAATTCTTTTGGGTGTAAACCTACAGGTGGGATTGCTACATCATGCGGTGATCCATTTTTAATTTTTTAAGGAAACACCATACTGTTTTCCAAGTGTCTGTACCATTTTACATTTCTATCAGTAATGCGCAGGGTTCCAATTCCTTCACATCCTTGTCAAGGGGTGTCATATTCTGGTTTTTTTTTTTTCCTTACAATAGCCACTCTAATGGTTATGAAGTGGTATTGTAGTTTGGGTTTGCATTTTCATCATGCTTAGTGCTGTTGAGCATTTTTCATGGGCTTATTGGCCATTTGTTTATATTTTTTGGAAAAATGTCTATTTAAGTAGAAAG